GCGGGTGGTGGGGGTTGGACGAGGAGTCCTTCTTTTGTTGCTTCTCCCCACCCTTCTTCTGGTTTAGGAGCTCGTCGGCATCAGCGTGCCTATCTCCGCGTCGGAGCGCCGCGAGGTATGACCGCGGCGGCTCCGTGAACAGGCTCCGGGCGAAGTGGCTAGGCCGGAGTGCTCCGCGGAGAAAAGCCAAGAGGGTGCGCTCATCGGCTCCTTCGCATTCGTCCGCCTCCCTCGTCCAGCGATCGAGGAAGGCTCGGAGCGTCTCCTCCGATTGTTGCTTGATGGTCAGGAGATGAGCGAAATGCTTCTTCGCGCGCTTCCTTCCGGCAAAGTGGGTGAGGAAGCGTTGAGCAAGATCCTGCCATGAGTCGATGCTCCCCTCCGGAAGGTTGTTGAACCAATCGTACGCTGGTCCTTCCAAGGTGGATAGGAACCAGCGACACATGTACTCCTCCGAAGCGTTGGTCATCATCATATTGTTCTGATAACGGGTGAAGTGCTCCTGGGGATCAGTGCGGCCGTCATATGGCTTGATCGGATTCCCCTTGTACTTCTCTGGGATGGGAGCGGAGAGCACCCTCGCAGAGAAGGGGGTCCGGGTCCGTATTTGGATGACGGGCTCGTCGCGTCGGTCGGCCAACTCCCTCTCCAAGGCACTGACCTTGTGCAGGAGTGCATCGTAGTTGAGATGCTGGGATGTGTGAGCCGTTGCGCGCCCTGCTGCCTCCCGGGCTTCCATATCAGCGAGGCGCTTCTCCAGGCAGGCGATGATCTCGTCCCTTGGGTCCGTGTTGGCCGCAGCGCCGCCCAGAGGGGTCTGGGTCCGGGCCGCGTGGGCCAGGTTGATCTGGTGACGCGCATCATCATCATTCAGTTTTCCTTTGCCTTTGTCTGGTCGGGGCCGATCCGTTGTCCGGGAAACGGACCCGAAGCTTTCCTTTGGTGATCCCGGCTCGCGACCACCCAACCGATCCGCAACCCTTCCCGTAGGTACCCGACGACTCGCGATGTCACCCAGCCTGTTGAAGGCCGAGATTTTACCGCGAGGTTGAGCCGGTGTATCCCGGGTAGGAGAGGCAGTATGGGAATGGGTGTCCACGGCGAGGATGCCTTCGTCGTTGCCGAAGAAGGTGACGCCCTGTGGCCGATGCGGCGGTGGTGGTACCGTCGCGACTTCCCCAGTCACGGGAGTGTTGTTCTCCCCTGTCTTTGCGACGAGGGCGCTGACGACGTTGGGGTCCTGGAGAATGCTTGCGACGATGGCCGATAGTGCGGCCGGGTTGATCTGGGGGGCAGCAGGGTGAGAAGTCTGCTGGCCCGAAGCGCGATCAGCATTGCGCTTGTCCTCGAGCCCGATGCGGGCGTCTGGGGCAGTCCTGTTGAGCTGGACGCGGAGGTCGGCCGTTGCGTGCTCGACCTCCTGAGCATTCTCATCCTGGATGATGAGATCATTGGGGACGTTGTCAGCAACGTTTCCCTGCCCTTCCTGGTTCAGAGGGGCGTTCCTACCAGTGTTCTTTGACCTAGTTCTTGTCATAGCTAGTGGTAGTGTCTGGTAGCGACGAAGGGTACTCACTTGATCTGTTCTAGACTCTCAATGAAAGCACCAAATGATAGGAGTATTAATCCTAGAGAGAAGTGAGAGCTAGAGAGAGAAAGTGAGTAATGATATTTCTCAACTTGCCAATCCCCCATAATTAGCCCCTTGGGGTCTATTTATAGGTAAAAATGTGGATTTGGGCCCCTAGCCTTGGGCTTAGGAGGCCCATTACAATAATTATGCCTCCTTTGGGCGAAATAGGGCCACTAATGGGCTGAGTACAATACTTAGCAAATAAAGTAGAGAGATGCATTCTGCTAGGACGAGGCCTGGCCGATGCGGTGCACTTTTGGCCGATGCGGTCCCATGGCCGATACGGTCCATGGGCCGATGCGGTCCCGGGAGTCCATGCGTGCTTCCTGGACCAGTTTGGTTTCTGGCCGATGCGGACCCGCTGGCCGAAGGGGGCCACGTGGGTGTTCTTCTGGCCATCGTTGACTTGAGTATGTGGGCCATGGGGTCCGGGCCCATATACTCTATCAGGTATGTTGAAAGATGTTACACATACGGATCCAAATACCTAAGAAAATTATAGGAATGCATTACACACATACACACATATATAGGAGATAGGACACCAAAAAAATCTGGACACCATAGAGTGTATGTATATATTTATATGGAGGAAAGTGTCGGTTTAGTACCTCAAATTGTAAGCTGGAGAGTAAAGAGTACATCATTTTGAAAGTGTGTTTGAGAGGTACATGAAATCGCTAAATCAGTGTTAATTGAGTCCATCTGTGTATTAGAACATTTAAAACGCCTAGGTGGCAAATAGATTAGGGATAGGGTAAAATAAAAGCCACCTCATCATCCCTGTTGCAAAACATTCGGCCCCCCTCCATACCCTGGAACTGACCAGCCAACCAAACCTCCCATCTACTACTGACAGGCATAGAGGCGAGACAGAGTCGTCACTCGGCCAGAGGGGGTGTGCCGCCGCCGCGGGTGTTGCCGTAGGAGTGAGAGGCGAAGAACAAGTCGCTGGCCCCTTCTGCCGTCCAACCTTGTCGGTCCATGTGTATGGACTTCGTCTGCTCGTATCACTGGGCGGTCTTCTAAATCACAGAGGCTGCATCGGACTTCCGTCGGCTTGGCTGGGGATTCACGACCCGACCGACGGGATGCTGCACTTCCAGCCTTGGAACCCGTCTCTGCCCAGAGCTGGCCGCCGGCCTGGGAAGCCATCTCCACCTGGAAGCCGCCGACATCTCCTGGATCTGTCTCCTTGAAGCCGCCGGAGACATCTCAGGCAGCGGCGCCGCTGCCTGGAACATATCGCCGCCTGGAAGCCATCATCCACTGGGGCCGCCGCGACCTGAGGCCGACCTATTGCTCATCGGACAAGGAAGGTGCCGGCCTGGAGAGAAGACGTCAGCCTGATGCCGACCTCGAGGTTGCCGTCGCCCCGCACCTGCGTAGGAGTGACGACCTGGAGTAGCGCTGGCCAGGGAGTTCGGCCATGAGACCGTCGACGAACCACAGATCAGAGCCCGCAACCTACGAAGGAGATCCGCCTGACCTGGAGCTTGTCAGTCAACATGAGGATCGTCGGTCAACCATAGGCATGCGGCTCCAGGGTTGCACTCCAAACGGACGGTATGCGGCTCAACCATAAGTATGCCCTATCACTAATCCGTTTGCCACCTAGGCGTTTTAAGTGCTCTAATACACAGATGGACTCAATTAGCACTGATTTAGCTATTTCATGTACCTCTCAAACACACTTGCAAAATGATGTACTCTTTACTCCTCTGCTTACAATTTGATGTACTACATCGACACATTTCTCTATTTATATGTTGTAATTAGGATTGTGAAGCATCATCCCATTTTCAAACCAACGTATGATAAGGATAAAATGCTATTAAAAGGGGGAGAAGTGTGTGAGTAGGTAGGTGGGAAGTAGCAAATAGAAGGTAATGGACGACTAAGGGAAGTTTCATTTGATATAATTTTATAGACATTATCATGAGTTAAAGATTATTTTTATCATATCTCGAGTATGAATTACACGTCATCATTGTTATGATAATCACATTCCAAGTGAGAATAGAGAAGAATTCCTTAAGTGAAAATTAGGAGTGGTCATCCGTTCGCTTTTGGTTTTGTTGTTTCGGTTTTTCATGGTCAATTTAAAATTGATGAAGCTGAGAACCAAACTATAATACTTCCATTGATTTTGACTCAATTAATTTTAATCAGTTTTAGGATGTTTCCGTCGATTTTATCGGTTTGATCAATTTTCAAATTCAAAGCTATAAACTATAAAACGGACTGCCTAGAATTGGGCCAATTTTGGTTTTATTCAATTTTGTTTTGGCAATTAAATTTCTATCAAATTGTTGGTGAGTTTAGATTTATTGGTTTGTTTGGTTAGCCCTAGTGAAAAATAAATTACACCAAGAGTTCTACCTACTTGGCTACTTTTAATGGTATAGGGTGTAAGTGATCATGCATAAACCTCAATAAACAAGGGCAACGATACTTTCCCTATATTCAATTGGTTATTTATAACGATTAAAAAAATTCGAATATCCCAGGGCAACAATTAGTGCTGGACTCGGGCCGGGCCGCCCGGCCCGGAACCGGCCCGGCCCTGTTACTGTTTGGCCCGGCCCGGGGCCCGGTGGGTCCACCGGTTCGGTTCGGCCCGGCCCGGCCCGGCTGCTGGACGGTTCGGGCTCGGGCCAAGGTTTTGGTGAACCGGTCCGGGCCGGATTTTTTTTTTTTTTTTTTTGAAATTTTTTAAAGTTTTAGGTTGGATTAGGTATTTTGGGCCATTTGAAGTGGTTTGGGATGGTTTGGAGTTGAGGGGGAGGGGATTAAATAGGAGAACAAAAAAAAAAAATTAATTGGGCCGGTTCGGCCCGGCCCGGTTTGGCCCGGAACCGGGACCGGAACCGGCCACCGGCGGTTCGGGCTCGGGCCTCCCTTTCCTGGCCCGAGGCCCGACCGGGCCCAGGCCCGAACCGGGCCCGAGTCCAGCCCTAGCAACGATACATTCCCTATATTGAATTGTTTGTTTATAACGATTAAAAAAAATCGTATTTAGAGAACTTTGAGTCTTTGATTGCAAATCAGTAATGTTTTCTTCACATGTTTTTATCTATACTCCTCGTCCACGTTCGATGAAGACTGCAGAGCCAAGTTCGAATGGAGCAGCATTAAAACTAAAGTTGAACATTGTATTGGTGAATGGACTTAATGCAATAAGAAAATCAAGGCAATTTGTGAAACTAATTTCAAACTGTCGTACCAAAGTTTTTTAAAGCGAAAAGCGCACAAAAGCGATGAGGCATGTCTTTGCTTAAAAGCAAAAGCTGTAAGCAAAGCGTTGTTTTTTTTATAGTGAAGCGTAGTTTTCCTATCAAAAGTGATGCTTATAATAAAACCTAATAATAAAATATATATAATGCATAATTAAGCCAAAAGTGTGTAACTAGTCATAAAGAGTAATACTAATGGGGCACAAAGTGAGAAAACATTCATCATAAAATTAAGCAATATACCAGATGTAGCTCCCTGCCTCTATGCTTTTGATGTAAATCTTTATAGCTGAAAGTTTTATTCACTGTAATGGAGTACAGATTATGTATTATTTCCCACAATACTTGGCAGAAGAACTCTTCCGAGGAAACGAAAGATGGATCCCCTCCATCCTCATCTGAGTCGCCTTGAAATTCTGTCCTACTCTATCATCATCATCTCCATTCTCCAGTATCACTTGAAGAAGGAAGCCTCTTGACATGTGGGAGAGTTGACATCAATCATATCTGGATAAAGCTTAAACTAATTGTGAAATTCATATTCCTCATAGCCATCTTCTGATTAATTCTATACTTGATTTCATGTGCACGTGTGCTTACTACATAGTCCTCTCCTGCAGGCTGCAGAGAAGCTCTTGGACAACTGTTCATTATTTTCCTTTTTCTTTCACCATTCAGTAGGTTGATGGTAGCCTGAGATCAATTATAGAAGACCACTTATACTACGTATATTTTAGATTACTGTAGAATTATGCATATTTGAGATTAATATTGGAAGACTGTTGAGATTATTCATGTGAATTTTTCCAAAAAAAAAACTAACACTAGTTGACTGGTCAAAGACCGCTTTTAGTGAGAATCGCAGAAGAGCGAACGCTTTTGCGCTTCACCGCTAGCCGGGAAAGTGATAGAAAGTTTCACTTTCTCACACGCCATCGCTTATGAAAAGCCTGGTGCATAGCCATCGCTCAACTGGGCTATGCGCATAATCTCGCTTTTCGTCGCTTTCAATAAGTTTGTCTCGTACAATCTTTTCTTTATTTCAAATGCCAGCAGCTGTGGTAAAGACCTGAAAACATTTAGATAAGTGAATATAATAAGGCAAGAAATAATTAACACAACCCGTTCTCGCCTGGAGATAAATTACTAAGGAACGAAATGGACATACACACATTTAAATGAGGACTAATAACAGTATTCTAATAAAGATGTTGATCAGATGTTAACAAACAACTGCATGATTTATTCCGTAAAATGGCCACAAAGCAATCAGAGTATGAGCCAGATTTTTTACCAAAACGTCCAATGTGATGATGATTCATGTTAAAGTAGTGTTGGGAAAGATAAAAAGAATGTTTACCGAAACCCGTAAATACATCAAATTAACATATGAAGGAGAGCGCTCTGTAAAGGACAAATAATAGCAACTTACACAATCTCAACCATCTTGGTGAGGCTGAAAACCCTTGAATTCAACTCTTCTATAGAAACCTAACACAAAGCCTTGATAAAAGTCACACATAGCCAGACTTTTCAATTTTTGACTTCTAATGAATATGTGGCTCATCTCACCAACATGTTTAAGTTGGAGAACAAATTGGTCATATGTTCTGTTGTGATACCAGAGGAGCAGTGCCACTGATGCCTACACCGTCATAAGAACCCCTTCTTTTTCGAAACACGAAGAATATTTGATTTGGCTTGTTTTAACTTGTAAAACTCAATCTGATGAACTGCAAAAAAGTAGCATCTGGAGGTGCACCCTCCCCAAAGAGATGCAAATTCTCAACCCGAGAAATAGGGGGGTAAGATGTGCTCCAGTCCATGCCTCCTGCAATTAACTTCCATCCCGACATCCACAATTGTTATGACACCCTGTCACAAACCCACAAAGGTTCTTACCTATTAGCTATCAAGCTTTTTAAAGTTGAATGACTATAATAGATAGTAGTCATTTACTGAAACAGTATGCACAAAATAATAGAGACCATGATATATAGCATCAATGTTGTGTTTCATATCTGCAGGTAAAATGGAGAGAAGTGAACTTTACAATGGATATCACAAAGCATAAAGCAGATCAATATCACTTATATCACGAAAAAAATGTCAAATAATCACTCTGATTTCTGAACTACGAAACCCCCTTGTTTCTTCCTTTACCTTTGGAGATGGAGGTGTCTGCTGTCCAAGAGGGACTCTTGGCCAAGTTCTAACTGTGGCAGAGTAATTCCCATTATTGGTCAATCCATTCTTAGCCACACTCTAACTGCTTTACCTGCCCTCTCCCCTGGAGCCTGTGCCACTCTGCCCAGATCCTACCCTACTCTTCCCATTTATGCTCCCCCTACATACTAAATAATAGAGCAGCTAGGAGATTCCTGCAAGACATGTTCATAATATTCATATTACCAACTGTGTCTCCCCCTCTTCCCTGGACCCTGGGGCACCTCTCCCCTCACCTTCAACTTTCCCCCTGCGCTTTGCCCTAGATGAAGCCCCCTCCCCCGGGCCTGCCCCCCTTTTCGACCCTCTTCTCCCCAGCCATTTCCCAACCTCCGGGGATCTTCTCTTCGATTCTCCCCTTCCCCCGGGGCCTACGCTAAATTTTCCCTTTAAATTAGCATAGGGAGGCAGTGACACGACTACCTCCAATTGACAAGAATGGGGGGGTGTAGATTATTTAAGGGATTGAAGGCCAAATAAACTAAACGAAGATAAGGAAAAGAGCTTATAAAGGTACAACACACAAGGCAAAGCACATAAGAACAAATCTAGAGGAGTATAAAATCTAAATGACATTATGCCATGGCCAGTTAGAATGTATTTCCACACAAATTTCAAATAGTAAATATAACTTACAATCAAGCATGAAAATCCTTCGGCAACCATCTTTTCCCTTCTCCCCTTCTACACCCCTCCCTGCCTACCCCCTCTCCCCTTCGGAAGATCCCCAGTGACAATATTATAAATTTCATCTTAGCAAGATCAGCACACAAACAAAAAGTTAAACTTCAATCCACAAACTATGATTTTGAAAAAACAAAATGTTACCAAAGTCACATACTTGGAATCTGGCCAGGTGTCTCTAAAATGCATTTAAGGCTGTCCAGTTTGAGTGAGCAGATTAAATGTAGAGAAGTTGCCCCAATCAAAATTGAAGCTATAAAGAGCCAAGTTTAATGATGTCTTTTACTTATCTCCTTATTATACTCTTCATCCACCAATAATTACATCCAAGGATAATTGTTCATTGTTCTCAAAACTTCTAGAGTATATCTCATAAACTCTTGCAAGGTCCGAAGCATTCAAGGTGAACATGTGTCCTGGCAAAGCAAAAGAAGCACCATTGCTTATCTCCTCATTTCGCTCTTCCACAGAGGCAGCCTCTCTGAGCTTCCCTTCTCTCCAAAGGCTCTTCACAAGCAAGTCTTTAGTGGCAGAATCACCCAATTGTTGTCCATAATTGCACATTTCCTCAAAAACTCTCAGTCCAAGAGAAGCCCTCTCACACTTGCAATATGCATGTATGACAACCTTGTACATATAACCATCCGGCTCGACCCCACTCAGCCTTGCCATCCCAAACAATGTCTGGACCGTTCTGATATCCCCCTGAAGTGCAAAATGGTGCATCAGCCCAGAATATGTTTGCCTGTCCGGAAAAATCTTAAGCAGAATCATCTCTTCAAGTATGATGATGACATCAGCAGCATCCCTTTTGCATTTCGCTAATGTCCTCAAAAGAGATGAATACAGAAGTAGCCAACCGTTTCTGGGAATAGGACCGCACACTGTTTTTGTATTGCGGAAGACCTTTAGTGCAGCATCACTGTTGCCAGAAATCCCATAAAAATCAATTATTAACTTGAGTGTGATAAATGACAGTTGTAGCCCTTCTCTTTCCATCTTGGACAAAAGTTTATCAACTAAATGGACACATCCTTGACGGGCCAGCTTGGCAATCATCCTCGACACTGTGTAGCTATCATGAGTAAACCCCGGTTGATAAGCAACCCAGCAAAAAAAATCCCAAGCTGTTTCTGCACACTTAATGTTTCTTATCATCTTGCTGACTAGCCGGGTTGTCCATACAAACTGTGCATCCTCCAAAGTTGACACCTCATCGGGTTCCCAATTCTGCAAGGCACTAGCCAAAGCAGCAGGGTCCATCCATGGCTTCAATTGAAATTGGTCTGAAACATCTTCATCATTTTCTTCATCGTCATTGTCCTCATTTGAATCTCCTATGCAATATGAAATGCTCTTAATCCTTCTGTCAGGAAGCATTTCTTCAATCAGTGCATTGATGTTCCCATCGTAACCTGACTCCTGCATTTTTTGAAAAGCCCACTGCATAGCCCGGCCTGGCAATATCCCATCAGCCCTCATTTCTTCAAGCAGATCTTTAACATCATCCAACCGCTCATTTCTAATTAATGCTCCAACCATGACAGAATACTGCTTCGATGTGCGCTTTATCCTCATCTGTGGCAAGATCTTGAAAACTTGGACAGCTGAATCGAATTTCCCAGATGTCACGAGATGGTTGATTATAACAGTGTACGTTCTAGAATTTGGAAGTGCCCCATCATTTATCATCTCCTTAAAAACCTTCACAGCTTCAAAATCCTTTCCCTTTTGGGCACAAAGGTCAACAATTATGTTGTAAGATTCTGTACATGGATGCTTCTTCTGCAAAGTTCTCTTCCATTCGATCCATATGTTATTAACCTCATCAAGATCTCCAGCAGCAGCATACCATCGCATACGATCCATGTAACTAACACGTGCAACGTTTGTGAACTTCCCTGTATTAATACCATTTATCAAGGCTTGGAGTTTACCCATCTGCCCTGATCTGGCGAGAACCTTAGCCAATGCATAAAGGGAGTTTGTAGTGTGTGAGAAATGAGGAATTTCTTTTAGGGATTCAACGAAAAACAGTGCAGACTCGGGAGACGGCGCTGAACGAATAGCATTGGTCACTACAAACGAGTCGAGAGAAGGGTTCCTTAGGAGGTCGGATAGAGACTCCGTGGAGTCCGATCGAAGACAAAGTCTTATAGAATCGATGAGCCTTGCTCTCTCAAGGTACACGATCACCTTATTCACATTTCGGGTTTTTGAGAAATGATGAAATTGCACAGTTAAATGGTTTGGTGGACAGGTTATCTTGTAAAGTCTGCCCAGAAACATCCCCCTCTGGAAATACAAAACACACCCACCCTGGTTGAAAGAAATCAAGGTTTAGAAATTTGATCCAAGAAAGACAGGTATGTGGTAAAATCTATGGCATAAGATGAATGCAGTTAGAGCATTGAAACATCTTGCATATGCTCATCTACAATTTGAATGATGAGGAGTTGTCTGTATAGTTTATATTTTATAAGAATCTCTACAATATAAACAATATCCTATTTCAAAATATATGCCTACTATTACCTTTATATCTCCATAGCATCCAGTCGTTGCTCTTATCTACCTTCATACGGAGTATTCCATTTTCTAACTATAGTGAATTAGTCATTCATGTCAATCCTCAAATGAGTATCTAGTGCAAATTTGCAACATGCTGATTCTACTCAGCCATGGTTAGTATGAGAGGAAACCAGGAAAGTAAAAGTTGGTTTGCAAAATTGACAAGGAGACGACTCACTGTAATAAGATGTAGAAGGGTTCGAAGGAGATGAAGTGCAAATTGGGGAAACGGATTTATACCTAAATCCAGGCAACGCTTGTCTTCATCGGAAGGAGATGATGTGCAGTGAAGCCGTGAAGGAGGACGGAAGTGGAAAGTGGTAACGATGGGGTGGGTGAGGGATGGGCCGCGTGGCTGTGAAATTATTAGGCTATAGTAATTTACTTGTAAACAAGTTAGAGAGTAATTTCATTCAAAAAATAAGTACTCCCTACTTTTTAGTTTTTATACTTACGTACGGAGTAAAAATAATAAAGTAAAAATTGTGTGGTTGATGTTTGTGCAGATGAGAGAGAAATAATATAAACCACAAAATAATTGATTAAAAGGGAAATTGGCAAAGTTTTTTAGGACGTCCCAAAAAGGAAAGATGACAAAGTTTTAAGGGGCGGAGGGAGTATGACTTTGAAATAATTCCAAATAATTACATATTTTTTTACTAAAATAAAGGTGGTTTATTAAAACATACTCTTTATCATTTTAAGTGGAGTGACTATTTTGAGAGATTATAAAAAAACATATTTTTAGCGATTATTTTTATATATATTTAATATATGCGTGAATGATTGTGACAATATATTTGTGGTATATTTATCAAATTTTATAAATATGTTTTATTTCAATTATTCAATCCGTCTCTTCAATTCTAACTTTGCCAACTTTTCTTTTTTTGGATTTCTCATTAACTCTGTCACTTTGTTTTTTGAGCAAAGAATTTGGGATTCAAGTTAATTTTCTCTCATTCTGCACAAACCTCTATCACACAGCTTTTCCTTTATTAATTCTCGAGCCGGTCAAACTTGACAAAGTTATTAGGGACGGAGGGAGTGTTTTTTAATTTAATAATTTAAATAACAAAAATATGATAAAAATATGATATAAGAATAAAAATTAACTACTTTAGAATGAAAATGATGAACTTCTTGAAACAACAAAAAAAAAAAAGTTGACATGTGACTTCTTTTTATTTGATTTTGATCATAATACACATTTCCAATACATATTAGAGCTTTTATCTGTGTTCCTCTCTTTTTCTTATACAACGTATTATAATTACTTCTATGAAACATAAGCAATTATTGTATTTATTAAAATCTAAATGTTGGGAAAAGTACAAAAAAGATACTTTCTCAATTTCAATTTAGAGTTCTTGCTTTCACTTTTGAACGTCTAGATATCCTCATTTTTGTTTTATGAAATAATTAACACTCTTAAATAACAATTTAATTATCGAATATTAAAACTAAGGCATCTATAACATCATCATCATCAAAGACCCACTATATTACTCCCTCCTTCCCACGTTTAATTATGCAGATTGACTTTTTGAGTCAAACTTTGTTAACTTTGACCGTTAATTAGTCAAAAAACACATTTACAATACCAAAATAATGTGTATATTTTTATATGTCAATGGTCAAACGTTAATATTGAAGACCGTGAAATGTTGACTATGAAGTTAATTATGGGACGGGGGAAGAATACTACCTCCGTCCCAAAAATACTTCTACGTCTGACTCGGCACGCTTATTAAGAAAGTGAGAATAAAGTGAAAATGTATGGTTGTGATTGAGTAAGAAAAAGTTAAATGAATGTGAGCCACACAGAACTTTCCAAAAAATAAAAATGAGAAGAAAATTTTGGGACATCTCAAAATGGTAGGGGGGAAAAAAATTGGGACAAAGAGAGTACCTTTTAAAATGATTCCTCAAAATACACTCAAATTACCTTATTTAATTATGATCTAAATAATATGTCGTTTTACAATGAGAACCTTAAATCCAGATGAATATAGTAAATGTGATTGAGTGTGTTTTCACATATGAGCATGTGTTTCATTTCTTATCAAAATAGCTTTCTACTTTGACTTTGTTCACTTCAGGGTCGGCACCTAAGGTCGTTAGATATCGCTAGAGAAAGATGATAAACAATAATTTTGAATGAGAGTTAGTATATACTTCCTCCGTTCTTAAATAAATGCAACAGTCAACATTTCACATTTGCCGAGTCACAACTTTGACCATTAATATTTATAATTCCCGATTAGTAAAATAGTTTAAAAAGTGAGTGTTTGCAATAGTTAGTCAATTTCTAAGGGAGTGTTTGCAATTGCTTCAACTTTAAAAAGTGATTTTTTAAAGTGATTTTGGGAAAAATGATTAATAGTAAAAGTTGGTAGTGTTTGAGAAAAAAATGATTATGAAAAAGTAAAAGTTTGTAATGTTTGGTAAAATAAGTACTTTTTGTGTAATAGAAAAAGTGAAAAGCAGTTTAAAGCACCCTTCCACTTGCTTCCAGCTTTTAGCTTTTAAGTGATTAATTTAAGCAGAAGCTGTCATTTGAAAACACTTTTTTTAGCTTTTTTTAAACCAAAATCTGAAAAACACTTTTTTTAAGCAACCGCAAACACGGCTTAAAACACAATAATACATCACGTGATAACCGCATAACTCTTGCCCACTTCCACCATAGCATTTTCAAAACTTTGCTCATGGAATATGTTTTACTAAAGAACTCATTTTAAGCGGAAAAAATCAATCATGATGTATGCAAGTGAGTCTTCTAAACTCTCATTTTGGATTGGAGACTTGAAGAAAATAAATGGGAAGTGGAAGCTCCCCTGAGTCAATTTTGATGATAATGTACTTAATTAAATATATTTTAGAATTATATAACAATATTTTAATTAAGCTCACCTCGGTCAGTTTTAGAATTATATAATACTCCCTCCGTCCCAATATAAAAGGCACATTTGCGTTTGGGGAGTTTTTAAGGGTGAACACTGTTTGAACACTGTTTGGCACTGTTTGGACACTGTTTGACACTGTTTGACACTGTTTTGTTTGCCAAAAGGGGAAATGTGCCTTTTATATTGGGACGGACCGAAAAGGAAAGTGTGCCTTTTATATTGGGACAGAGGGAGTAGTATTTTAGTACATACTACTTCCATCCCGTTGAAAGGTTCTCATGACAAAATGACACGATTATGTAGACAATATTTTAATAAGGTAGTTTGAGTATATTTTGAGATATAATTTTAATAGGTATATAATACAATAAGGTTAGTGTTGATATGGTGATGTTATAAATCGATTATTTTTAATATTTAATGATTAATTTTTCATTTAAAATTGTTAATTGTTTTCTTAAATCGAAATGAGAACTTCTATATGAGACATCCAGAAAAGAGAAGTGAGAACTTAGATGAAGGAGTACTAAACTTCGAAATTCATAATACCTACACATCTACTCAGTCCATACATAATTTAAGAAGTTTGGTAATAATTTATAATAAAAATCTACCACCGTTATATTACAACTATTTCATATACTTAAATGGAAAAGTATAATCAACTCATGGAATCACATAGTTTGAAAGATATGGACACATCATCCATAGGACCATAGCATAGCTTGCATTACTTCTCAGGTATTTTCATCTCCTCTTCATATCTTTTTTTCAATTTGATTTAAAGTAATGTTCAATTTATGCCCAGAAGGTTTAATCTATTTCAATTTAGCTCGAGCGCTATCTACTCATATACAAAGTATGTATTTTGATCGTGTTTAATTAAGATTTTCCTTCTTTCTTTTTGCTTTTTTATTTTGCATTTGTTTCATCCATCTTAATTCTTATTCTTCATTCCATAGCACACGAATTTTCTCTTCAATCCAAGACTACCCAGGGTTTAGTTCTCATTTTCTCCTTTTCAATTTGAAATTTGAAATCATAATTTACTACACAACAATGATCCATGGGTTTCATTCCTCTCTTATTTTCCATTTCAATTCACTGATTTTTTTTGCCATATCTTTTACATGAACCTTACTTTTATTTTTCTTATCTTCAGTGTGTTTTGGATTTGATTGGAGAAAACAATATTGCAGCTGCAATATTTGAAAAAGATTATTGGTGAATGTTGAATTTATTGTTCTTTCTTTGATCTACTTACTGAATATTTAGTGGTGCACTAATCTTTGATTGAGTTCTTTACTGAAGTCATTGCAATTTATTGATCATAGTTATCAACGTTGAACAATATTGCAGTTGCAATATTTGAAATTAGATTACGGATGCTTACAAAATGTACTGATTTTTCATTGACCTTTTTATTGGTTCTTATTTGATAGTTCATTGATTTAATTGTAGACAGCTGGTGTTTGGCAACTATATCTGATTTTTATATGAAATATTTGAAATTTCAATTACGAAGTACTACGTAATATATAGGCAGTAATCACCAATAAACTTAATAGGTAATATAGTTCAATAGCTTTCTGCTTTGTGATCACTGGTGTGGACTCACAGTAAAGAGTCTTTTATATTAGGCAGCCTATAGACACTATTATTAACAATGTGGAGGAACTTCACTCCCTTTTAGCTCAAAACATTAATGCTTTCAAGACCATAAATTTGTATAAGAATATAGCTTTGTCTGCTTTGATGAATCTAATAGTGCAATAGCTCTATTAGGTCTGAAACTCTGAGTTGTTCTATAAAATTGCACTATCCTATACTTACACTATGTTTATAGACATCGCAGCCTTAGCAGATGATTGTGCTTCAGATGTGGTGATTTTTTTTCCATAACTCATCCATTCTAACTTGCAAATCATCTTGGTTTTAGTAAGATACATTCTTTTTTCACAACTTTACTCTTTCAAACCTTCTTCTTGGGCAAGATAAAAACATGGCTTCATTCGAAAACACTCACTTTTTTTTAAGTATGACTCACTTTTTCTATTCTCTTTTACGATACTTATAATATACTAACTTCACTTTTGTCTTCATTTTAAGTTATATCAATTCTAGGGGTGTGTTTGGTTTTTTTTTTTTTTTTTTTTTTTTATGTCTTTCATGTAGTTCCAAGTGTATTATTGGTCTCATTCATTGGTTTCATATAGTTAAGGAAATACAGACACGGGCCTAATCCGGTGAAGTTGCAGATTTTTTTCGGTTTATATTTTCATTTTTTACAGCAGTATTGGGCTTTAAAAATGTTTAATTAAACCTCTAAGTTGTAGTTTGTGGTCTACGGTGATCTACTGATCTAGTTTTCAATAAAATTTTGTGGTAATTTGAGTTTGCACCCCATTTTACTTTCCAAATTGGACTTTGCACCCTGTTTTTAAAAAACATTG